AATTAAAAAAACAACTACAAAACATTACAGTAAGAAAAAGTATCCTTGAAAAGTCTCTCTTCGCTGTTTGCATACAAGAGAAAAATCCTAACAGCACCTCAGAGAACAGCATCATCATGCACACTGGTTTGTTATTGTGGGGTCCCAGTCAGTACAACGGTTTTAAAAACAACATTTGCAGCAAATTACACTGAGTTAACAGCCTTGGAGCACAAAGCCCTTTGTTTTTCCATAGGACAGATCCTCAGGTTGTCTACCGAGCTTGGGCAGGGCAGAGCAGGCTTTCCATATGCACTTCCCCATATCCAATGTACATTAAACATGACCTGGAGTGTGTACCTGTATGACCAAGAGAATTTGGTCAATCCTCAAGCTCTCTTCTCATATGGGCCTGCAGCATTTGTGGAGATTTTGTCATGTTCTTGTCCATTTAGAACAGGTCCACCGACCAGTTTCACGTAGTCTATCAATCCGCTATCAGATGGTAAGAACTTTCAGCTACTACCAACATGGGCTGCATTTGAACCTGTGACCTATGAGTGAAAGTCTTTCTATCCTGTAAGCCAACCCCTGATCTATCAGTCCCGTTGCTTTCCCAAAGTTTATTTACTTAAATCAATGAGCTTGGCAGCCTGGCTATTTAAAACCCATCACAATTAGGTTATTCAAAGAACACAGAGACAGATATTTACAGGGGTGCTGGAACAATTTGTACAGTGGGGGTGCTGAGAGTCATTAAACCAAACTGTAAGTCCTGTATATAATGGAAACCACTTCAAGCCAGGGGATGCAGCAGCACCCCTAGTTTCAGCACCTATGGATATTTATTTTCACTATCATCCTTCAGAGTGTCCCTTTAAAATTCTTGGGAGACAACCCAATGCCCAATACCAGTCTAAAGAGTTAACCTATAAAAGCAAACCCAGAATGATATAAAAAGGTATTTGCCACAAGACATACGGTAGTAGGACAAATTAGGAAGAAGATACAAAACACACAGGGAATCTAACTGGTGTTTTGATGAGACAACGTGTTCTTCCCATTTTCTCCCATAAGAACGAAAAATGCAATTCACTTCAAACGTAATTTTACACTTAACTGACTGGCTTCTGTTATAATACTAGCAGCACATAGTTGTAGTCACATTTAAAATAATAGCCTCCTCTTTAACGCAGGCAAAAAATAAAATAGAAGTGTTGGCTACACCGCCACAGACTCTCACTTCAGCAGGAAAGCACTCTCTGTCATCACTCCTACATGCATGCCGTGGAGGCTGCGGGGGACATTGTATACACACAGAGACAGGTATTGTTTCATGGTCTCTGTGTGTATATGGTGTCTTCTGCAGTTTCCACGGTGTGCATCCGATGAAGTGAGCTGTGGCTCACGAAAGCTCATGCTCAAATAAATTGGTTAGTCTCTAAGGTGCCACAAGTCCTCCTTTTCTTTTCACTCCTACACAGACACCCTGGGCCCAATCCTGAGAATTGCCTTGTGCTCTCCACTCCCACCGACCCACTCAGTGGCAGCAGGCCTCCAGTGAGAGCCAAGGGTGGTGTGGGACGCTCTCAGAATGCTGCAGAAGCAGGCACTGAGTATACCTGAGTGTTACTCCCTTCAGCAACTTTACAGCTGATCCACTGTATATTGATGGTTGATTTTCACCGGTGCTGAGTTATGGTTGCTCCTCACCTCTGATCATTGGGACCCAACTCCTTAGATAACAGAAAGATCCCACTGACATTTAAATTTGTATTTTTAAATCATGCATGTAATTATAGTAATTAAACAGAAATAAGGTTCTCCACTGGGCACAAATTAACACTTTGATAAATGGCTTTTTTTTTTAATAGGTTACAACAAATCTATTTTTTTCAATTATGCTGAGAGTAACACATCAAACTGAATAAGCACTTTTCAGTCACTCATCAAATTACAGACTACTACGAACAGCGTTTTCAAAGCATCCCTTTAGAAAATACAAACACAAACACACACACACAAACACACCAGGGTGTTACACAAACCAATCAACTTTGCTGCTGCAAAAAGAGGACAAAAACCAAACAAGTACTTAAGGCTAAAACATTTTGCAGGGGCAAGGGGGAAAATGTAAGAAAGGATTCATAAAAACAACAGACAATGGTATCCGACAGGCTTTGCTAGCTATAAGGCGACATTTTTAACCTGAGAATCTAAGCTGATGCCCTCTACAGTACATCGACATTCCGATTATAGATCATTCAACTCGAGAAGAAAGATGAAGGGAGGTTCTTCTTCACAGGGACTTTTGACAGAGATGTTCCAAAAGAGAGTACTTTGGCGAGTAAAGTCCACTACATTTCAGGGGTAATTTATTTTTAGGCTTGGTTCCTTTAAAGTCCACAAGGATTCAATGAGATTAAAAGGGCAGACAAAATACTTTTTTACTGTAAAGTAACTGATAGGTCCCCACACAGAGGGGATATGAACACATTAGAAAAACAGGGACCCAATCCTGAAAATGCTTAAAACCACAGGTGGTATCTTTTCTTATGTGACTGGAAGGGACTAAGCACATGAGCAAAATTAAGCATGAGCAAGATTGGTCGCTCCGTTTACTTGGACAAATTCCTGATTGCACAGGTGGATTAAGTTTGTGTAATAGCTACAATTCCCTGTGCAGCATAAATAGCAAAATATGACAAGTTTGATGGAACAAATCCACAAATTACTCTCTCTAAATCAATTTGTGTTAATACTTTAATAATGCAACACCCATGATGTAAAGGAATAGCAGTCTTATGAGAACAGCAACACTGCATTTTAGAAGAGCGACTATGTTTTAAAAGCTACAGGAAACATACACAAAATACAGCTGTTAAATAATGTATACACATCATACCAAGAGACCCTTGCAGTAAATATGTAATAAGTAAATAATATCTGCCTACATTTTTATCACGCAGGTACAAATTCAACTCAATTATAGCTCTCTCAAGGCAGGGAAGGGTTCACACTATTTCTGATCAGACATAAACACTGTTCTGAGTGTGAATTATCTTGAAATTCAGTATTTACCAGTTCAGTATTTTTTATTTAAATGTTTCCAGAGTAATTGTGACCCAAGCACTATGTTCATGAGTATAACATAGCATATTTCAGCCAGACAAGAAAAAAGACAAACCCTACAATCTTAAGAGCTGTGCATCAACAATTTAGCACTCATTTGGTAACCCTCATGCAAAATTAAGACCATACGTCATTCACGACATTACATATATCAACCTGTTTTATATGCTCAGTCTTTGCTACTGAATCTAGAAGACTTGCTAGTAAAGTCCACCTAACTTTAGTGAAGGGGGGCGTGTAAGGGTTAATTGTTGGAAAAACAGATGGATTCTTTACTACTTTTTAAACCCTGGGTCTTTATTCTTAGCAAAACTCATTTCTCTGCCATTTGCTAGTTAGAAGACAGCTCTCTCCTGTGATGCATAAAATCCCCAATACCTTGCATTCTGCAAATACAACACTCCTATACTTTTTGCTAAGGTGAGGTAATCAAAAGGCACATATTAGTAATGCCTTCCTCCTTCCCCCGCTCCCGGACAGGTTATGACATTTGCCAAATTCCATGCTAGAAAACTATGCATTAAACAGCAGGACTGAAACACATTAATCACAATTATAACATGGCTGCTTTGTTACCAAATTACCGATCTGATTCTTAGACCTTCATCCAACTCTAGGCACCAGAGAGTGAACTGAGAACGGAATTCAACCTGAGCAATGCTATTTTGCCGGTTAAACAATTCACAATTGCCAAAAAACAAATATTTTAATTTTTACCTAAAGACATTTAAACTGAACCCATTACTGAAAAAAAAAAATAAATGTAAAAATGATCACCACCTATTAATTTAAAAAAAAAAGAGAAAATGTGAGATCTATAGCTACCCATTTGTTGTAGTAACCATTCCATTCAATTGCCCTGTTTTAACTCTTGTTTGGGATTTCTGCAGCCGAAATTGTAGTAAATTGAATTTGCGGAGAACATATGATATTAAAGTCAAAAGCTGATTAACAAAGTGTGTCAGATGCATTTGCCATTTGACTTCACCAATCAGGGAAACAATGCGTTTTTGGGACCACCTCATCCAGTGTTAATCCTTGAAGGATTACCAACAGCTGCCGGGGTTGACAGTGTCAACATAAACTGGCAACCTATTTCTACCATCTCAGCTACAGAAGGAACCAGTTCAAGATAAGATTGCATCTATCCCACTGTCCTATCCCAGGAGAGATTAATCCACACCTTAGCCAGATTTGGGAAGACATCCACCAAAAACTAACCAAAACAACAACAAAAAATCCCATAGATGGACTTGTTTTCATAATGCCTCAGATATTTAAACTCCATGCAGTGCAGCATCCCATTGTCTTGTTTATTTTACTGACTGGATACAGTGCAAAGGGGCGGGGGGAGAGGGGGAGTCAAGCTACAACGCAGGTATAAAAAATATCTCATTATCAGATAAAAGGAAAAGTGTGAACATGTCAACACGCTGCCGTTTAAAACAAAACCTTGTTTTGGCTACAACATCTGGAGCGTTTTTAACCCCCCAGAGGAAGATCTGCAACCGGAGTAAAAAAATCAGGTAGGTAGATGGGTCTTAAAACGTTGCACTTAACACCTCACAGGAACTGAAACCCCCAACCCTGCAATTAAAAGTTTACACACAGAAGCGGTTCACAGTGGGTGGGAAGGGGGTTCCAGGGATTGCTTGGCGGAGACCCTCCCCTATTCCACCCCCCTCCCCAACACCTACAGCTCCGGCTGAGGGGCACTCCCCCCAGCATCCTTGCCTCAAACCGCCACCGAAGAGCAAGAGGGAGAAAGGGTTAAAAGTTGGACAAGCCACCGATGCTCCAGCCGGGAGTCAGCGAAGCAGCCGAGGCGCCAGGGTGAGCGCTGCGGGCTGGGGCCGGGCCCCCCACCCCGCGCCCGGCGGGCCCCTCACCTTGCGCGTTGTGCTGGTTGTTCTCCATGAGCGAGGGGGCGGCGGGGCTGCTGCCCAGCTCGGCCAGTCTCCTGCTGGTGGCTGTCAGCTCGGCTCGCAGGTTGGTCATCTCCTGGCTGGCCGACTGGATAGCTCCATCGATCCGCAGCGCCAGCTGCTTATTGTCTTCCATCATGTTCAGGATTTTGGCCTGGGGAGGAGAGAGGTGAGAGAGAGCCGCATGATGCACCAGCCAGGGGTGGGTGTGGAAGGGGGGCGGGTGGCTGCCTCTCTCTCCTCCCCCTCTCCCCCCCCCCCCACACTACCTGTTGGGTCCCCTCGCCGCTGCCTCCCTCACCCCGGCGCAGGGATGCGCGGAGCGGCTCCGGCCGCAGGGGACCCGCGTGCGCTTTGCCGCTTCGCGGAGGACATTAGCGGGGAGAAAACAGCGCAAGCACCCTTTCGATGGAGCCTACCATCTGCGGCGGGGGAGGTGGGGAGCCCTGCCCGCGCCGGCTCCGCCGCAGCCCCCGGCTTCGCGGGGCGCCTTCCCCAGCCCGGCCGCCTCAATGGCGCAAGGGCAGCGGAGGGGAGCAGCCCGGGGTGGGGGTGGCTCCCCCGGGCGTGCGTGCGCTCGCCGGCCTGGGGGATGCACCGCGGGCTTTTCCCTGCCCTGCCCCTGCCCCTGCCCCGGCGCCGCGGCCACGGAGCGCACGGCCCCGCGCAGGGCTCCGGCTGCCTGCGCGCTCGGGCGCCCGCCGCGCCAAGCGCTGCCCGCTGGGGGCAGAGGGCGGGAGGCCGCCGGGGAGGGGGGTGCGGGGAGGATGCGGGGGGGGGGTGCACGCGGGGGGGAGGAGGGACTGGGAGGGGAGGTGGAGCAGGGGGCGCCGGGCGCTCCAGGGAGAGGGGAGGGCGCAGGGGCGGGCCGCCCCGGGAGTTTGTTTTGCAGGGAGCCGGTCCTGGGGGCTGGGGGGGGGGGAGGCGGCTGCCCGCCCACGAAGGGGCCAAAGTGAAAGCGGGGAGCCGGGGCGCTGGGAAGCTGGGGCCGGGCGGAGGAAAGGCGAAGGCAGGGGCGTCCGTCCCCTTCATCCTGGCGCGGCGCGGGGGAGGGAGGGAGGCCCGGCTGGCTGGCTTCGGATCGGGTTGCAGCGCGGCCGGTGGGAGCCGGGTGACACCCCCTGCTCCGTCAGCCACGGAGGGGGATGGGGCCGGGAGAGAAGCGCTGGGCTGGAGTGTGCAGTCGCCATGCTAAGGAGGGAAGGGGCTCCTTTGTCTGCCCGAGGGGAGAGCTCCTGGGTGCATGAATTCCCCCCCCCCCCAGCGCCTCTCCTGGCACAAGGGGGCGACTCGTGCAAAGCGCTGCCCCCCTCCCCCGACACCCAGCCACCTTTGCACCCCGAAGTGGCCCCAGCCCTGGCTGTGCCCCTGTCGGCGTTCGCTTGCCACGAGGATCGGAGCGGCTGTAAGCGGAAAGGGCCACCGGGCTTAAAGCAAACGCTGGGGAAGGCGGGGAAGGAGCAGCAAACGTGCCATTCAGAATCGGGAGTATTCACGCCGGGAACCTGATTCTCGAGTTCCAGCCATGGGCCAAGAGCAGAGCCCAAAGACCGACCACAGCAGCCTGAAAGAGCAGTTTCTCGTACTGCACCGGCTCACCCAAAGAAATCCTGCAGCAAATCACTGTGAATGCATAAAATCCAAGAAACTCACCAGCCACTTGGTGACCATTTGCCAATAGAACAGGAGGCAGCATTCATGGAACACCCGATATTTCTAGCTACTGTTCCCTTGGGGTAAGAATAGTTTCTCTCGTTGCCACTTTTATCCTTAGAGCATGTTCTGGTGGTGATGGGAAGTCAGGACTCCTGAGTGGCGATGGTGGTGGTTGTTTTGTTGTTCCCTGTTCTACCACTCAACTCAATACATGCCCCTGAGCCCATCAGTTCTCTCTAGTGCCTCAGCAAATGTGGCAAACAGAACTTTGCAAGGCTGGTTAAATCTGCCAGGTTGAATTCATTGTCTAAAGGACTTGAGATCTTTTGATGAAAGATGCAATGAGAGTGCAAATTATTCTTCTTTGTCCCTTCCCTAGACTGGGCTTTGCGCACAAGTCTGCTGCATGTCAGTGCCCAAAGAGTAAAATGGACCAAAAATCTCTGGAAGAGGATGGGGGGCGGGGAGGGAAAGGCAACGGCTTCTCTGGTATTATTTCATAAGCCACATCCACCCAGCAGGTGCTGCAAGCTCAGTGGGTGCTGCCAAGCTCAATGGGGCATGTACCCACTGAAGCAATGGAGAATTACTTGGCATTGTAAATCACTTTGCTTCTAGAAGGAGCAATAACATTTTGCAGTGTCTTTTCAACACACTGCAGGTAATCTGCTTGCATGAGGACTGTGGGACTTTGATTGCACCAGGCAGCAAAGCTGTAGGCCTGAATTCATGACCAAACAACGCATGGGTTAGGGGTTAGACTAGATGACCCTTGCAGTCCCTTCTAACCCTATGGTTCTATGATTCTCTGGAAGCAGGTTTCTGTCACCTGGAAGCTCTGAAGAGCCAGACCATCACTCCCTGTTTTCAAGAGGGAATGATGCAGTGGAGAACAGCAGTTCAGGAGACACAATTGCATCCCCATGCACCCTTTAAGGCATGAAAGGGAGGACTGTTCCCAAAGTAAGCCATAGCTCCCTGGGAACTGAGCTGGGCCAGTCTCTAAGTAGCACTTCTCTTGAGGTACAAAAAATGGCTCTTACCCTATTGTTTGAACACAGGAAAATATTATGCAAAAGATTAAAATAAACATTTTGGGGAAACAGGGGAAGATTGAGCAATTACTGCCATGCTGCCTGTTGCTGCAGTAAGCTCTCAGGTCTGCCCTGTACTTTTGGCTCCCCAGCCAGGCCTTGAGAGTGCTCTCAGGACTTGCAAATGCAAGGACGTTTCCAAAATCTAAGCACTTTCAGCTGCTTAGTCTCTAAGGTGCCACTGGTACTCCTTTTCTTTTTGCGAATACAGACTAATACGGCTGCTACTCTGAAATAGGTATCACAGCGACCTTGACGAAACTACAGCAGGAGAGGGACAGAATGGTGGGTCCTATCCCAGCAGGCTGCAAAGATGGAGACATTATTATTTTTTGATTTAGAAAAAACAGAATTGATCTCAGGTTTGTTTTTCCTTTGGCAGTGTAAACACCATGTGACAGTGGGGTTGAGCTGACCGGAAATCATGTCAGTTTCCAATTGCAGGCTGGCTCCTGCCAGCTGTGCTCTTCTCTGTCCAGACTTGCACCATGGCACCATGGCATTACAAGAGTGGCCACTTCGATGAGCACAGAGAATGTCCTCATTGGCCCCAGAAGCAGCTCTGGTGTAAAATCACCACTCAGCATCTGAGGGAGGAAATGGTTTAACAAACCAATGGGCTGACAGTTTCTGCTGCTCGCTCAGGGGAAGTGAAATGAGGTAAAGCAAAAGTGCATTGTTCTCCAGCAAGACAACGATCCTACTGGGAGCCGTGGAACAAGGTACTGTAAAGCTGTGAATCTGGAGGGGGTTGGCATGCAATGAGCCTCCAGGCAACTTTCAGGAATAAAAATAAAATGAGTCTGTGTTCACATGCTGTCAGTCTGCTGTAGATTGCTTTCCAATTGTGCTATGCTCCCTGAGAATATCAGTTCTGATCCTGACTGTACTTATGTCCATTCTGCACTGTCATAACCTCCACCAACTTCCACAGGGACGCTTGGAGCACACTGAACTAAGCAAGAGGCCCAAGTCCATTGGGAATAGACAGTGCTCTACCATTCCCAGGATTGAACCTGTAGGTACTTAAGGGCAACATGTCACATCTGATGAAGTGAGCTGAAGCTCACGAAAGCTTATGCTCAAATAAATTTGTTAGTCTCTAAGGTGCCACAAGTCCTCCTTTTCTTTTTGCGAATACAGACTAACACAGCTGCTACTCTGAAACATGTCACTTAGGGTTTGTCTACACAGCAGGGGAATGTATTCTGTGGGGGAGTGATTTCTAAAGCGCACTCAGGTCTTGTGCATTAGTTGGTCCATGAAGACACAGTAGTACATTAAAGCACACTAAGTAACCTTTAGTGCGCACCAGCAGGGTCTATGCAGACCAATTAATATGCAACACGAGTGCACTTTAGAAATCACACCCCGGTAGAGCACATTACCTTATGGTGTAAACAAGTGCTAAATTATGGAAAGTTTGGAAACAGTATTTCAATAGACACAAATAGTGCCAAACATTTTACTGATTTAATCTCAGATTAAGATGGCCACAGCATTTATGGGGTGAAACTGCAGCCCGTGGAAACTCTTAATGAGGTTGTCACTCGAGGAACTTGGACTGTGTCCCACCTAGGGAAAAGGGATTGGCCATCCTATGGGGTACTGAAAATTAATCCCCTTCAGTTTTCAAAGTAACCAGTATGAATTTGCCAATACACAGGGTAAAATTCTGTTCTCTGCATATTGGAACTATATGCTGATATTCTGGTCTCTCTGCAAAGGTGGATCTCTCAGCGATCTCAGAGATATACGGTCTCCCATATATACACTGTGTGGAGAGAATATTGGTCTGAAGTCCTCTCTAAGGGCTTGGCTACAAGGGGACATCCAGAAACATAAATCCAAATTAACTAAAGGTGTGAATTGGAAGTGGATTAGTTAAACTGCATTAAACGCTGTGTGAACACCATCCTTCAGAATTAATGTGGCCTTACTTCAGGAAGGCTGCTTAATTCTGAATGAGGGTGTTCACACAGGAGTTTGATGTTGGTTTAACTAATCCATTTCAAATCCACACCTTTAGTTAATTTGGATTTATGTTCCTGGATGACCATGTGTAGAGAAATCCTTAAGACTTCATCTACACTACAAAATGAAGGTGTTTGGTTTTTTTTTTATAGCACAGGTAGGTTTACCATTGCTATCTTTAATCTAGCTAGCCACAGGTCCCAGTAGTAGTGAAGACAGGTGGTCTAGGCTGCCAACCTCGGTACAAGCCTGCCAGAGACTCTGGGTACATATTCTTGTTGCTAGTCTGTGGTGTAGCCCATGCTGCCATGGGTTTGCTAGTATTGTTACCCACACTAGCTAGATTAAAACCAGGCATACACTGTAACACCATCATCTGGAGAACTTGGTGGCCTGGGTATATTACCTTGAAACAGGATCTACCTCAATAATAATCTTATTTAACTGACTACAGGCTCAATAGATTTTTCTAAACACTAAATATCTGAGCTGTTTCAACTCCTTTTTATAATATCAAAAGAACTTGTCTCATTTTAAAGCTACAGTCAAGCAGATGAAATCTACATTTTTTGATTAGTTTTTTTTTTAAATAAGATGAAAGAATCTATTTAATAGAAAGTATTTAATGGTTATTTTTAAAAGAAAAATTATTTTTGACTGACAATTTCCAGCAGTGTCTGCAGCCCAAACATTGCAACACTTGGGCTAGTGCATGAAAACCTCAAAGTGACCAGAAACAGACGTGGAAGTGAAGGTGTGTATTTTCATTACTTGCATTTATTCAGGGTGGATAAATGGCATAAATGAAGAATGAATTTGAATTTTGAAATTCTGTCTTCATCATTTAGGTTGTTATTAGTGACAGAGGCAAGGACACTTGTTACATAAGGTTTGTTTTCTGAACAATGTAAATGCTTGGGTGTATGTCTGACGTGTATGCACATTTAATGCAACTGTGTATGCAAACTAGAAAATTACATATGCAACTAGATGATTGAACGTGCAGTTGCAATCGCATATATGTAAAACCATGATCCGGGCAACAATTTACATTCTATACTGTAATAAAATACAAGCTTGTGTACTATCAGGGCTTAAATTAAACTCATCTTCTTTAAACCCCAGGCCCATTGTTTTTAGCCTACTGTTTTTTCTTTTAAATTAAACCCGATGTGAGCCTTTTAGGAAAGCATCAAACATCGAAGGCAAAGCCCAGATTACACATTTAGTCAATGTAACCTCAATAATAGACTAGTCAAGGTATTATATTGATAGCATTGAAACCTTTTTAAATTGGGGATGTGAAAAAATTTCTACACTATATTGCCTATTTTAAAAATTGTTTTAAAATCTTGAATGTTACCATAATAACCCAGCCTTAGAAAGCTTCCTTATTCCTTTTAAACCCCTTTGAGAGTCCCCTAAAGATATCCGAAGAGATTTTCTCCTTCCCCCTGCCCAGCAATAGGGAGCAGCTGGGTCTATTTAAAATTGATTTTGATCTCTCCAAGCAGGATTTGATTTCTCCGCACACTGAGCTTTTGCCTGAAGAGAGTGCACAGTAGAGCAGAAATTCTGAGATGTCAGCTGGCGTGGCAAGAGTCGAAGAGAAAATGAGCAGCTCACTCTGTGCCCACTGGCATAAGCATGAGACGGCGACACGGGCAAAGTGATTGTCAATGTGACAGTGGTTGGAGTTTGCTGGCCGTATACAATTAAAACAGAATAAAACCCTCTTCCTGCTGAGCTCCAGATCACAGATGGTCCCAATGGGGTGCAGCAGCATAAGAAATGCTCATGCAAAGTAAGCTGCCTTTCCATTAATTCCTATTAATTGGGTGTTTCAAGGGCTTCAGGCACCATGAAAGGGCCAAGGCATCATAAAGGGACATGAGGTGTTCATTTAAAAACAGACAATGCTGCTCTCTGAACAGGCTGAGTGGTGCAATGGCTGAATGCTCTGTTCTGAAGAAATGCTAGGATCCTCTTGGTTCAGATGGAAGTTAACCCCTCCACCGTGATCTCAATTCTCTCTCATTCTCTCTCTCACACACACACACACTTTGCCAAAAGCCAAATCAACCTCCTTGAGATAATGGCCCCAATCCTGAAATCAAGCCTCCATGGAACTCTGTTCACTTCAACAGAGCTCCACACAGGTCTGACTGCAGGAGTGGGGCCCTATTTAGACATTTTGTAGTGAACTAGACTAAGTATTTGGGATAGATGAGGCCTTTCATTTCTGTAGACCTAGGTCAAATTCATTGCTGGTGTAAGCAGGTGCAACTGCATTGACTTCACCAGAGTTATGCCTGCTTCTGTCAACATTCATATGTATGATCCTTGGTCTCAGTCTCATCCCCACTGAGTCTGTTTCTACATCACAAAGCCACTACTTAGTTTGGGTTGACTGGCAAGTTTTCCTTAGGAACTGTATCCGAATGGCAGGCTAGGACTGGGAGCACTGGAACAGCCGGGGGTCTGCCCAAAAAACGAGAGAGTCAATGTTTGTGAGCACTTGGGATTTGTCACTTGACACAAAGTTTTAAAATTACTTTGTAGAAGACACAAAGAGGAATTAAACAGGGGAGGGAATAATGAATTTGTATGAAGCCATTTCACAGGGCAAATGTTTTTTTAAGAGACTATAACAGAAAATTATGCAGCTTGAGTCCCCTTGATTGGTCTGAGCCAAACACAACCCAGGCTCCATGAGAGAGCATAGAAACACGCTCCTGTGAATTTCATACCCATTCTACTAGTGATGTGATATACGAATTACATGTTGAAATTGCTCAGCAGTACAGGGCCTGATCATTGCTGCAACCACAAAATTGAGAACATGACCATGATGTGTGGTAACTATAGAATACCTGAGAGATTATTATGTGTGAATTAATTCCTGTGCAGAGGGCCAAGCATCACTTCAATCCTCAAAACAGGGATTAAATTAGACTTTAGTGGTGCAGAGGCTTTGCTCTGCATAGGGGTGAATTTCACCTGACATCTAGCATATTATTTTCTGACAACAGCGTTAAATGCTATGTTATTAAGCGGGCACAAGCAAAGGGAGGATCACAGTGGAAAATCTCGGTACAAGTGCCTGTTCCATAAATGAACCTAAACTAAGAATTCAAGCATAGACAGCAGGTGACACTGGTTGATACTCTAAGCAGATGATGCAGCTGCACAACAGAAATGCAGTTTATCTTTGAATCAGCCAGATAAAGACTATTTTTAGTTAAATGGTGTCCACATTTTTTAAAAAAAGCATTTTTGGGATGATTTACAGTTTAAGGGTGAACTTTTCCAAAACGCCTAAGGGATTTAGGAGCACCAATGCTATTGGAAAAATAAATGGAACTTCTGCTCCTAAATCTCTTAAGTGCTTTTGAAAGCCTCCTTACACATTGTTTACTGCATCTAGGATTTCCCCAGCTGTCACATAAAAGCTTTTATAGCAATCAAAAGACAAGGAGAATCAAATCCATGTTTTCCCCCAGATTATTGGAATATTCTGGGGGTTTGCTGTTGTTGGTCTTTTTTAAATTCTGAATTTCAATCAAACAACTTGACATACACAGGATCAGCTCCATTGTGCATGGTGATGCCAAGTACTCCATGTACTCTCCCCATATGTGGTATATAAAAGGAGATTGACAATAGACAAGACAACTAACTAAATCAAAAGACAACATCAAATAAAGCTTTGAAGATTCATGGGGGCAACAACACATTTGACTTTTACAGAGCCTGAGGTCTGTCCATGCACAGACTCTTTGGAAGGCAGAACGTGCCACTAATGTGAGTTGAAAAGAGGGGACTTATTGTTCAAAAGAAGCATTCCACCCACCCCTTTCTAACACTGCTCGCAATGGGCCTGGACCTGGGAAAATGTGAGTGTCTTCAATGCCCATTGACTTCAACAAGAATTATTATTATTTATTTCAGTGCTTAGAGGACCCAACATGTAACCATACTTTACAAACAGAATAGGAAACAATATCTCTCCTGAAAAGCATACAATCTGAAAAGACACAGCAGATAAGAAGTGAGAGAAAGGATAGTTAGTGGGGTTCTGTTTTTCAGGGTTTATTAATTTCATTTTTCTGGGTTTATTTTTAGCAGCATTTGAGTTTTACGTAGATGTCCAAAATTCCGGGTTTTTTGCAGGTCTCTCTCTTTGTATATCTGTAATGAGTAACGTAGATTATATACATTACTCATTACAGTAGTAGTATACACTGTAATGAGTAATCTCTTTGTAATGTTCCCTAGTGCACTTTAACAAAGTGTAGTTTCAAACAGCACTACATTAAAGTACACTAGAGAACTTTTTGTGTGTACCCAGATGGGTCTGCACAGACCAATTCACATGTGACATGTTAGTGTGCTTTAGACATCACTCTCCAATAGTCCTCATTACTGCTCCTTTTCCATGTAGACAAACTCTTACATCTAAGTAACCAGTTCTGATGTCTTCCCAGTGTTTATTGGATAAACATCAATTTCTTTCTCTCGCTCTTTTTGGTGTGGTACTGCGGGTGTTTTACTGGCTAAAACCGAAAATCAGAAACTCTAATTATTGCTCCATTTTACAGATGGGGAAACTGAAGCACAGAGTGATTACATGACTTGTCCAAGGTCACACACGAAGTCTGGAGTGACACCAGATCCTCCAAGTCCCAGTTCAGTGCCTTACCTCCACTGTCACCTTCTCTCTTATTCTAGGTGTTCAGCATCTTGTAGAATCAGACACAAACTTAACACCAGTATTCTTAAATATCTGAAAAGTTGAATATTGAGCAACAAGTTTCAGGAGCAGTGGACTTTCAGAGAAGACTACATTCTCCAAGCTGTGATAGAAGATGTGTGGGTGCGTGGAGGGAATCCAAGTAATATTTGGAAATATTAAAATACAGTGTATATTGTTTGGTATTGCTTTAGATGTCTGAGTTTTTTCAGGACAGGGAATGTGAGGGAAGTCAGAAATGAAAGGGGTGGGGTGTAGGAATGAGATACCATTAAGAGTTCTAGCCAACCACAAATTTGCTATTCAGTTTACCAGCCTGTAGTTTATTATGTATGGTATGTGAAGGAACCTATTTAGCCAAAAGGGAAATGCCTTTTGTGTTAAGAGTGACCCTAATCTAATATGGCCTTTTGACTTGACTCAATTAAATCCTTTCTGTTTCAATTAAATAATCAGCCACAATTTAATAAAATGAATTTCCGTGTGTTGTCTCCGTGTCTGATGACTTTAGAGATCAAGAAGCCTCATGTAAATTCTGTGAATTACTTTTTATCAGCTTGTGTGTCACTTCCACAAAAAAATGCTGCCTGTCAGTGTATTAAAATTCTTTCCCCATCTTCTCATTGCAACACTGTTTACAATCATGATTCCCAGCTGACAGGGCTTGAAATAGCTCTCGTTTCTTTTACATCTGCCAAGAAAATTGGCCCTTTCTGACTGGAAAAAGGGCCCATCCAGTGTAGATAAATTTCCGGTGGGGTCTTCTGTGTTCCCTTTTTCATTGTGAACTTGAATTCTGCGCGGTGAATAGCAGTATCTTGGCCTATTCCAAATTTTAGTTGAGGCATCCACTGAGCAATTTGATAGCAAAGCAAGTCTCCCTCCCCCAAATCTAATCAAACAGATGAGCAAACTTACAAACTGGCCACTAGAAAAAAATCTTAGCCTTCCTCTGTTTATTCTATAAAATGAATGGGACTGTTGCAGCATGTATACTGCAGACATCTGTTCCCAGTTCTTCAGACTGAGAACTAAGTGACTAGTTCTATTACTTACAGAATTTTTTCCCCTCTAAAGGGCACATTTTTTATTTTGTATATTCATAACTGCATCTGACCCTCCTTCTCACTCTTAGAATATTGAGCAGTGATTCAAAGGACAGTGAATCGTTTCTTCCCAATCTGAGAACAGGCCAGCGCTCTAATACAAAGGGTGACCTTGCTGGATGCATTACTGCTATAGCATAAATCACATTTTAGTGTTTTGCTCTTGTTTTAAGGAAGTATAAATTGCACAAATTAACAAGATGCTGGAATGCGGTCAAGCGGTTGGAGCAGAAGGCTGGGAGGTCAGAAATCCCGGGTCATACTCTCAGCTGGCTCACTGATTCACTGTCATAACTTATGTGCCTTCTCTGTGTCTCAGTTTCCCTGAGGATGGTGAAAATAAATTGTGTAATGTTTGTAATGTACCTTGAAACTGCGGAATCAAAGGAACTACATTGCAGCTAAGGAATATGGACCAAATGTAATAGACCAAAGCACTAGCCTAGATCCAAACACTGCAAACTCATAGAACCTGGTATAAACCTAGAGTAACTCCATTAAGAAGAAAAGGAGTGCTTGTGGCACCTTAGAGACTAACCAATTTATTTGAGCATAAGCTTTCGTGAGCTACAGCTCACTTCATTGGATGCATAAACATTGAGAAGAGGTAACTGAGAGCAAAATTTGATCCAAGAGATTTTCCCTGGTAACTCCCTTTGGCATTAATGGGAATCAGACATCTAGACCCCAGAAAACAAATGACTCCATAGCATATTTCACAGCTGAGTGCATCTATGGCACACATCTCAATATTCAATTCTATTAAATCCAGCATTTGTTTAATGAATTACAGCAATCCAATGAGTCTGTAGATGGGCGGCTTGTATTTGACTTTTATGTGGTAGACTCCAGCAGCCAGCTTTAAAAAAGGAATCAATATTTGTGAACACATTTTAATACAGTTTATTCTGAACTCTCCCCCCCCCACTGTTGACATATATGGATGCTTGATATATTTCACAGGGGTTGATGAAATGGCCTTTATCAAAACCAGTAAGGGAAATGCTTGGCAAACCCAAATGAAATATTGCAATATTTTTCTCATTTATTAGTTACAGTTTCTATTCGGTTCCAAATTTCAATCGACGCCACTAGTAGCTGTCTCCTCAATCACCAGGGGGAGATCTTATTTTTCAGGATTAGTTTTTTAAATTAATTAGATAAAATATGCTTAATGGAACCACTGTGAATATTTGATTTCTTAACGAATGGGTGTAGTGTAATAAAGAGCCTTGGAGGAGCAGTGGACATTTCTCCATAGAGGCTTAGGACCAATATTGCCATTTAAGGCCTAGTCCACACACAGTTTTGGTACAAGTATAACAATATTAGAGATGTGATTTTTACCAAAATACTTGCAAAACCCCAAATGTAGACACAGTTACACTGGCATAAAGGTGCCTTGTACTGTTGTTATGAATATTATTTATTTGTATTACTGTAGTGCCTCGGGACCCTAGTCATAAACTAGGACCCCGTTGTCAGTTAAAAGTTTGTTCCCCCTCGTGTATAGGAAAAAGCGATATTCGTATAAGCACTTTGATACCATTATAACTGTGTCCACATGACTGGGGTGGTATCACTTTCACCATGCTGGCCTAGTTAAAGAGTGTGTAGACAAGGTCCAATACATTTTGAAAGGTGTTAAAAACCCTGTCAACACTACGTGCTAAGTGGTTTTAAAAAAACAACCCAAAACATATGAGCTAATATGTTTGTTTGTTTGTTTTTAACACCAGCCTCCCTGTCAAAGTGTAGACAAGGCCTTAGAGACTAGATCTGGAGGGAGAGAGAGACTTTGAAAGCCAGGGCTGTTTTGACAGTGAAGGCTTTAAAAAAAAAGTGTGAAATATTCCTTCACTTTCCTCCATACTTGGAACAGTTGCCACTTAAAAGCCTTTGCTCTCCTGTTCGCATTGCCAGCCACTTGAATGCACATCCACTCTACAGAGTGACACATGCATGCAGAACGACCAGCACATTGCAAATATTAAGTCCCAGATGGGGGCAGCCAGCAATTTGAACTGGCAACATATATGGAAAGATTTTCCAGAGAGCTCAATGTCCAGCAGCTCCCAACAGAGATCAAGGGAGAATTGCTCCCCTCTCCCTTGCCAACACAGAGAGAACAACACGAGCTCCTGGGTGTGGAGCTCTTCGGAAAGTTTCGCCCATTGTGGCCAACTCATCACCTCCCCGCGCCCCAGATGGAACTATAATTACATGCAATCTAGCAGCAGGCGCAGTTAGGGATCCCTAGCTGTGTGATGATAAACAGATACACCCACCAGACACGACAACAAATTCCAGACCAAGGTAGTTGAAAGCTGTACACATGCAAATACCTGGCATACTCCTGCCTGCACCCACTGTTCCAGAATACCCTGTGGTAAGACATTAAAATAAATGGTAACATCATGTCTGTATGTAAAGCATCACTGTTTAGTGAACTCCTTCTGAAGCACCTGGCATTGGCCACTGTCAGAAGATGGGATACTGGGCTGGATGGACCATTGGTCTGACCCACTATGGATGTTCTTACGTTAACTAGCAAACGAATTATGCATTGACGTACATTGTTATTTGGGGCTGAATTCACATGGCTGCATTTCTTTAGATGGGGACTGCAGAAAGTGGGGGTGATAATTCAGTAGGTGGTATTCACCCCTCTGGGAGAGCACTGAATGCACACCCCAAAGTGGACTTATGTGCTGTTGAAGGAACCCTCTCTCTGACGAGATGTAATACCGAGGCCATTAACTATCCTGCAACAGTCTTCACAAGAGTTGGGCTTGTTAACGGTGGTGTTCTGGCCAAATCCAGCTGGGGTATGAACATTCTGCCCACTTAAAATTATTCCTTTGGTTGCAACTGGATGAAGAATTCTTCAGTTTCTGATCTACACTGATGCATGGGGCTGGTGTGTGCAATTAAACCACCACTGTCTCACCCAAGAGGTGTCCACATTTCAGAAGTGGGTGAGTGACTCTGATGCAATTATAGTTTATAAATCACTTTCGGATTCTTCAACAATGCATGCCACTATAAAAACCGTAAGGAAGATGACTGAGAATTGTGGCCATGGATATCATACAAGGCAGTGTGGTCTAGCGGACAGAGTGCCAAACTGAAATTCAGGAGACTGGGGTTCTACTTCTGGTTCTGCCATTGACCTTGGGTGAGTCACTGCACTGCCCTGTGCCTCAGTTTCCTCATATGTAAAATGGAGATAATGATACTACCCTCCTTCATAAAGCAGTTTTAGATCGACTGATAGAAAGCCCTAAATAAGGGCTAGGCATGATTACTGTTATATAACTGAACTGTATGACTAAATTATAGAACTGCCACCAGGTCATAGATCAGGGCAGCAGCTATATCAAAATACACACACAACTTGTTTTCCTGTAATCATCTTTCATGCACACTGTCACAGAATGGTTTACAGCTAGACAGATGGGTAGGAAGGGAACATCTAACAGCACTGATAATAGCCACTCTCCCTACAGGCAGAAAGAAGGAGGGTAAATGTGGAGAGGACATAAAAAATGGAACATGAATAGTAAAGAGGCAGTCAGTATTTCTGCAGCCTTATTGCAGTGAGCAGAGAATAGCAGGGTGCAGTAAGCAGTGGAAGGATCCAATGGTTTTGCTCCTTAAGTAGGTGACTGAAGACTACATAATATCTCCATTACTAGGTATAAATCAAGAGTAATCGTGTTGGTTTCAACTGAGAAGAGTAACTCAGTTGAAATCAACAAAGGTATTTTAGATTTACACCTGAGAGCAGAATTTGACCCTGATACGGGAGCCAGTATTTCAAGCCTGTGCTGTGCACTATGATCAGCACTTGTTGTCCTTGCATAACTGGAACTTTTAAAAATAAAAATAACTTGAGAGTCCATTGCCCACAGCTGCTGTTAACGTTCAGTTTTTATCTTCCAGAATAAATTGGGCTTCTGCAAGTTTTCAATCAAGACAAATAAACAATCCTTGCAGTAAATAAGGGGCTTTTCCTTCAGGTTGACAGTTTTCATATGCGGCCTAGTTACTGTCAGTTACTGTTAGCTTTTCAATTAGCTGAGGGTAGATGTCCCTTAACAGCTCTCTATGCCAGAGATTGGTCTCAATGAAGTCAATAGGAGTTTTGCCATTGAATTTACGCATTAAGGTTTGTCCCTCTTGCAAAATGTTCCAGGGATCCGATGCTCATTACTGGTGAGATTCTGCAAAGTACACTGAAGTCAGGAGCAGGCCTCAACTCAGGAAATGTGCTTTTCTGTAGCTTATTTATTGTGAGATCCTTATTTCACAAGATCTACAGAGCCCAGGCTCCACCCTGAGCACAAATGTCTACACTGCAATTTTATAGCCCCAT